ACTTGACCAAACCAGTTATGTCAGGAATGCAAAATGTGTCCACAGGCCTTGCTGCTATGCCCAGTGTGCAGGCTGTGCTTCTCCCAGGTGGTACATTCAAAGTAACACTGACGTCGCATCACCCGTCCATGTGCGACAACACATGCAAGTGTGCAGACAAGTTCTCTTCCTTAGATGAGGGGATTATATGGAGCTTTACACATCAAGTCCAGGCAGAAAATTCTCTTTTCCACTAGTAAGGACTAATATATCTTAAAAGCATGCTTCTATCACTTGACTCTCCTGTGGGTCTCTACTTTGATTCAATCTCAGCTTCTGACGGCCAATTGCACTGCAAACACAACTGACGGGATGAGTAAAGTGACACTGGGGAAAAGAAACCATTAGGTTGGCCAGCAATGGCTTCCCAGCTGCTCTGGCCAACCTTTAACAGAGAGCTTCACTGGAACTGGACTCCATCTAACTTGGCCCAGAGGCAGAGGCCACACAAGGTAACTGCTTCCTTCACAGCGAGGACATAGACTCCTCTCAGAATTAAGCAACGGTAGTCCATTTGACTATTCCCTTTTATTGATGAAACAGTCTACTGTGACGCTCACAAACCTCCTAGGAGATCGTTTTAGATCCAGCTGATTTAATTTGATTGATGTCTGCGCCTGGGTCTCAAACAATGAGAAAGCCACAAAGTATTGCATTTGTGACTCTCTTTTTTTTTTTTCCTTGTAAAGTACATTTTTCAAAACAAATTCATGTGCTGTACATAACTAGGTTTATGGGACATAGGCAAGAGGAGGGGAGGTGGGGAAACCCACAGCCTCAAAGCCTGACACGGGCTTTGGGTTTCCATAGGATAGGTTTGCAAACAGTTGTTTGACGAAGGCACCTCGGTCCTCATTTTTGAACAAGCCCTATCTTCCATAGCTCCTTCATCTGCGAGAGCCAGACAGCCCTAGTTTCTAGACCTAGGAGCTTTATTTATTTATTTCAAATAAGATGCTTTGAGGCAGCGATCTCATCTAACCAAATGAAGTCATGACTTGCTGCTGTGCTGGGCCTCCAGCAGCCATTAGACACAGCCACATTCCAAGCAGCAGCAGGATTTCAAGGACTGATATCCCCACAGATAAACAGCAGTGACACATGCCCTATTTTATACCTCTTTCCTTGCAAACGGGAGCAGAGTAAGATACATGGCTACCACCCTCCCTCCCAATTCCAACCGAGCAGCACGATAAGTGTGTCCTTCTACGCTGCTCCGAAGTAAAAGGATTTGAGGAATTACAGGCCAATTCTCTGCAGAGAAAAGGCTAAAGACACAGCATTAGGCACTGAACAAGGGCTCACTCAATGTAGATTAAATTACTGATGTCTCTCTCTTTCTTTCAGAGCCTGGGTGTTCAAACAAGGGGAAAATATTAATATACAAAGCATTAAATATAACCATGGTTGCAACTGAGGTGTCTTCCATTAACATCTAAACAATGCTATCTGTTTCTCTCTCCACCCACCTGACTCCAGCAAGCATGTAAACCTTCTCGGGATGCCCTTTCCCTAGCAATTTCATTCCTAGTTCCACTTTATTTCTTCCATAGCTTATTTTCCCCTTGCCCTTTCTTTCTCATTTTGTCCCATTTGATTGTTTTTTATCTTTCCAAAATGCTACTAAGCCATTTCAAAAACAAGGCAAAGTATAAACAAAAAGATTCTGTGACTCTTGTTTTGCAAACCCAATATTAGGGGCATGTGGTGTCATCTAGTAAGTGCTCTCATAGAGATGGAGGAACTTCAAGTTGCAATTGATATATAGACTTAGTGTAACTCCTGGAAAATCTAGGATGCACAAGCACCTCCCCTATAGGTGTTACTCTGTAATGCCCAGAACCATGGGAGCCACTGTGTCTCTGATCCTACAGAAATCCTGGCCCTGTTTGATCATCTTCCCAACTGGGTTTAGATAAGGGAATCCCCAAACCCAATAATGAGCCATAACTTCTAAGAATGAAACTAGTTTTTAAAAATACATTCATCGGGACCAACAGATGGCAATAATGGCTATGTCGCTGGACTCCCCTATAGTTGACTGTGGTTCAAGTCCCAGACCCAGTGGCTTAAACTCACGCCAGGCGTATATGCATGCGTGCTCAAGATCCTGAGAGGAAAATGAAGGAGACGGGATTGCGGCATGGCCATCCACCCCAGGGGGTGACTTCTCGCTTTCTGTCTCTCTCTGTCTTTCTGGCAAGCGCACACACCCTATAGCAAAAACCTCTCCAAAAAAAAAAAAATCATTACATTTAAGCAAGGTAAGTCATAAGTGATGAATATGCATGACCACATGTAGAAATCACCCCACTCTAAGACATGGCTAGAGATGTTCACTGACGGAGATGGAACAGCATGCAAGCTGAATCAGAATGAAAAATCACGAAACCCAATCAACTACATTGTGCCTGCCCACAGGGGAGGGCACCCTGACCAGCAGGCATGAGCATGTCTGCCCACCTGGCAGGTACAGTGCACTACCATGAGAAATGCATGTTCTTGGCTGATGCTAGTCATTAAAGCCCATTCAGTTCTCTGTGCTTGGAATCCCAGTCCCACCAAACAGCCTGTCAAGAGTAATGGGGTTTTCTAAGTAGACTTCCCTGAAGGAGGAGACAACGTAAAGACTGGCCACCCAGAATATCCTAGTCCATGTGGCAGTGGGTTTTCTCCCTGTAAGCTGGCAAGTTGACATTTTGCATGGAAGACTCTTAAAGGTGTTATGAGCCTGGGTCTGTCTGTATGAAAATAACTGAAGTCAGCTGTGGGAAAATGGTCAAAAAAAATCTCATTTTTTAGACCTCCAGGAAGAACTGAGGTCTAAATCCAATGACTACTGTCTTCTGAAAACACTCTGCAGCTGAGTAAACAAGTCTCTCAGAGCAGGAAAGTCAGGTCCCTCTTAGAGAAAAAAAAAAAAATATATATATATATATCTTATTCAGAAGAATCTTTTCCATCCAGATTATACCAGATGCATACAAAAGACATGAAGCAGAATCTATAGCTTTAAAATTTTTTTTAATAAAAAGAAAGGAAAGCGCACAAATGAGGTTAATCAAAACCAAAAATATAAATATGGTAGGAAATCTACTACAAGATGCAGGATTTCTTTTCATTTTTAATGATTGTTGAAAACTAAATTAGAAGATCCAGAAAAACAGACTTTGGCTAAAACCAAAATTTAAAACATAATGATTGCTTTAAAAAGGAGAAATATACACAAATAGGAAGAAGTTTTCAAGAGCCTAAGGAAAGCTCAAATATTACCAAATCCAGCTAGCATACTAATTCCAATGAAGGAGAAGCCTATGTAAGCAAGTTTCCTGCCCATTAAATATCTCTGTGGATCTCTGTTTTCC